GTACGCGTGTACATATGTGTGTATGTTTGTAATATTTTTCTTTTCATTTTCAAGTTTTTTCAATTACACAATTAAAGTCTATCTAAATTATTCAGACGTCTGCTCCGCTTGATAATTTTTTGCTGTACATTTTGATATTTTATTTGCATTAATTTCCTTGCAATCAAAATACATATATTTTTGTAATTTCCGCTAGGCCCAAATACAGACCAAGAGGCGGACGCGGCGGATGTTGGGGATAATTCTAATTCAAGAGTGAAATTTTGTTAAATCACCATTCACAAAGCAAATGCAAATTAAAGATTTTAATTTTTCAACTAATTATTTTTTTACATTTTATATTATTGCTTATTGCAATCTTTGGTTTTTATTACTAAAAATAAAAATTCAATGTACAAAGTACAAAGCAACATAAACTTTTTGCCATTCTTCTTATTAACTGATTTATGTATGCCACATAGGCAATATGCCAATAGATAATTACGTACCTAGATAGGTATGTATGTATGTATATATGAATGTAATATAATGTACTAGCCCTACTATAAATATTGGTGTGTAGACAACGACCTTCGCACGAGCTTAAAAGTTTAGAAGATAAAAAAAATGAGAAAACCAAAAGTGTAGAAAATCAAATAAAATAACTCACAATAAGACATACACATAACAGGAAATTGTTTGGCACAGTCGAAAGAGTGAGATATAAGCTCTGTATACTTGTATATAATAAGCGTGCATTTTCGTTTCGAGGGAGCGGCTGGTTGGTGAGCGTTAACGATGAATTGTTTAAATTAGCCAATCTCTTCATCTTTCAATTTATTTTAATTAAATAGATGAATGGGAGTTGTTGCATGGAAAAAATGAAAAAGTGTGCACAAGAGAAGTCAGTGCTAAAAAAAAAATATTACACAATCACACAAACAAAACGTGCAGATAAAGTAAATTAAATGAAATATATTTTATTATGATGCAATACTTGGCAAACAAATAAAATAAAATAAAAAATAAAGCAAAACAATATAACATATATAAAAATAATTTATAAAATTAAAAATATAAAAAACCATAATAAGGTAAAGTAAGGTTAAAAAATTAATAAGATGGAATAATATAAAACAAAATAAACTGCTGTAAATTAAAACACAATTAAATAAATATAAAAGAATTAAAAAGAATAAATAAAAGAAAATAACTTAAATAAAGTAAGAAAATTTAAATAAATTAAAATAAATAAAATAAAATCATATATTGATTTAAAATAAAATTTAAAAAAATATATCTAATATGATAAAACAAAATAAAATAATATATGAAAAAACTTATACATAATATTAAAAGCCATAATGAGATAAAATAAGTTTAAAAAAAATAATAAAATAGAAAAAAATAAAAATGAAATAAATGAAATGTGAGAGGCGTATCGCAAGGGACCTAACAGTATATGCACATATGTACGCATGTATATACTCTGCAGTACCATTTTTTTTATTAGAAAAACAATAAAAATATACTCCAAAAGTTAAACGAGGACAACACCGTTGAAACTGATATATATACATATGCATGTATATATATCTATATGCATCTTTGATATAATACATTTCAATATTTATTCAAAATATTTTCAACATTTTTTTTTTAACAATTTCCTCTACTTTAATAAAAATGTATGCTTTTATTTATATTATGCACATATATTTGTTTATAGGTATAAACTTTTATTTGCAGCCGTCACATGTGCTTTTTGAGTATCTAAATACATACATACATATGTGCGCCCATATTTTTATATAATACCAAAAAAAAAAAATGTAGTGAAAGAATTTTTATGCTACGCCATTAAATCGTCAAACTCCAAACAACAAACATAAAAGCAAACCGAAACAAAAGTCACAAAAATAAAGCGAAACATAAATACACGTGCATATGTATTGAGCATATACAAACTAATTTGTGTATATACATATATATAAATATAATACAACATTAAGCTGGAACTTTATTTAATTTTTTTATTATAGAAAATTTTTAATTGAATTTATGACACAGAAAAACTGGCAGAATTTTTTTGCTCACTCACCTTTTTAAAAAGTTTTTTTTTTTTTTTTTTTTTTTTTTTTTTTTTTTTTTTTTTTTTTTTTAACGGAATTATTTTATTACTGAATCTTAAAATTAAATCAAAAACTTGTTGGCTCGAGTTAATTCAGAGCTCTTAATAAACTATGGCGCTCTCATTAGTAGACGAGAACATCTCTTCGCCGCAGTCGGTAATTTCTAATGCTTTGGGATGATTTTTCAGTTTTGAAGGATAATCTGTTCTGGTTCTTACAACTTCAAGTTTAAGGCGGTACCCCTTTTTAGAACCCGAAAATAATGCGTTTTTTCAGCAATATTTTTGTAAGGGAAACGAAGTTTTAATGATGGTTTGTTCTATATGAACTAAAAAATATCAAGTTGGAGTAAACCAAATTTTTAGAAATTTGGAAAAAATCTCACTTAAAAAAAAATCACTTGTTGCAAAAAAAAAAATTGTTAAAATAATATTGTATTTTTGTCCAAACTTTTTTAAATCAAATAGAGAATAATTTAATACTGATTATTCTTTTTGCAATCGCCGGCACCGTTATCTAAGACTTGTAAAAATAAAAACTCGAGAAAACGCGCCTTAAAGTCAGAACCTTCTCTACGCTCGGCTACTAAAACTGCTCTAGCTACTAAAATATGTCGAATTGGCCACTGAAGTTTTGAAAATATATTTTTCGATACAGTTGAATATCATATATCCAAATTGGATTTATAAGAGCTTTGTAAATGAGTACTTGGATTCTGGTTTTAGTTCAGAGTTCTTATGTACAGGCTAATTTTTGCAAGTTTTTTTTTTCAATTTCATATGCAATATTTTGGCATATGTGGGTCCTTGAAACGTGAGCCTTTTATCTAAGAGCAAGCCGAGATATGTTACGTACATAGTTTACCAGAGCTGCTCAACAAACGAAACGAAATGAAATTGCAAACGTTAAAACGACACGAACTAATCGTTAACATTAATTTTAAAATATTTGCTTGCGCTTACTAACAACGTACTGCTATTTTAACGTTTAACATTATCTGTTAACAATTTAACATTAACGACAGCAATTCGTTTCGGTTAAAAATGAAAAGAAATTTATTTTGATAACTGATTTAACGTTAATATTTCCATATGTTTCTACAGAAAGGATAGAAATTTTTCAATTAAGGTGAAATTTATCGTGGTGGACGTTCAAGATTATTGGAATGTCTGCTGTGTACATTATGTACATATAATATATGCCCAAGCATGCTATCTTGAGGTACACAGGCTTCAACTGGAAACTCTGCAGAGATAAGTTCAGTGATTGTTTTACATAAAACCTGTTAGGCAGATATGACTGAAATATATTGTAGACAGTAAAAGGTATTTTTTTTTTTTTAATTTTGCGTAATAGGTTTTTACGCCCAACCTTGTCGTTTACTTGCGCTACGCCGAGAAATATTGCAAGCTCGAATACCTTCTTAATTTTATTAGGAATTCGGTTTACTTGTTCTATAGAACCACGTTTTTTCACAAAAACCAAATTTGTATTTAGACATCACTTTGTTACGATTGCGAAAAGGAGATATCTTAGATAGCAGAATTCTTTCAAATAATTTGGAAAAATAGCATAGAACGCTAATTGATCTAAATCTGTCTTGGCGGCTGTTATAAATAATCATTATCTTAGTATGGCTCTAAAGGCTACAGAGAGCAGTGCTAATGCAACACTTGGCAATTCTTTAAAGATTTTTGGTGATTTGTTTGGGTTCAATTGTTTGGGCGCACTTATAGTTTACAATTGGAAAAAAAATTGTCGACGCAAAAAGCATTGTACAAATATATATGTGTAAGTATGCTATCATGGACATTTTCATTTGAAATTACTTGTGTGAAATATTGCAGTCATCAAAAAAAAAAAAAAATTAAAATAAAATAAAATAAAACAAAAATAAATAAAACACAACCTTAGACACCCTAATGTGTATATATGCATACCTATGCATACTTATATATATATACACACATATACATATTTTCGGTGCGCACTACATAAATGAAAAGCATTTGAACCCCAACGCGTGCGCATGGAAGTGAGGAAATTGCCAAGTATTTTTTTTCTTGATTTTTATTAAACTTTGTATTACGTCATTTTATTGGCAGCAGAGCAGCATATAATGTAATATATAGTAATGTGTATTTATGTATGTATTTATGCATGTATGTATTTATGTATGCAGGCGGACATAGCACACAACCCGAAAAACCCTACAAATAAGCAGACGGCAGTACATACATACGTGTATGTACATATGTAAGTAAATATGTAAATTACAAACATAAAAACAATACAGCCCACAGTGTGAGAGGGAGCTTTTATATACATACATACATATAAGTTTATGCTCTATGAATATATGCACATACATACATGTACATATGTATGTATGTATGTAAAACCACATATCTATCACGCCCTCATAACGTGTCCCTCCACACAAAACTAACTGCGAAGATGAATTCAAAACATAAAAAGACACAAAATAAACTAGAAATTGCACGAGTTTTTGTTTAATTTCATTTTATTTATTATTTGAATGTATGTATGAATGTATGTATGTGTGTATGTATGTGTGTATGTATGTATGCATGCATGTATGACGAAACATAAATCAGCTGCAAAGTATATAGTATAAATGACGAATGCCAAATTTATAGCATATATAGTACAAATGTACATATATATGTATGTATGTAAATTGAAGAGAATAAAAAAAGATTGCGATCAACAGCCGTGAATGCCTTCTTTTTTTGGCAACAACGCCAAAGAAAGCTCAATTACAATTTTTAAGGTGAAATTTCTATATACTCAAGTTTGTAAATATATATATATATACATGTGTTTACATACTTTTGATGATTCTACACAAATTTAGGTCGAACTTACCCGTTAGTTGTTGTTAATGAAAACACGCAATGTTGTATTTGTAACTTGTTCATAATAAATAATAACAAAGAAACTGCAAAGAGAGAGAGAGAGAGAGAGAAAAAACCGCAATTAATTCATTTATCTATTAGAAGAAAATATGCTGAGAAAATTAAAATCTTATAATTACTGTACTATATATGTATATATATAAATTTGCATAGGTAAATATGTGTATCAAAAAATTAATTCCGTTTTTGATTTAAATTAATGTTTTATAATTTTTAGTTGTTGATCGGACCAGGAAACTTTGTCGGGATATTTTTTTTTAGAAGAGATAAGCGAATGAAAGTCTCTTGTATACAACTCCAGTTAGGTCTGTCTGTGAAGTCTTAGCCCCTCCTCGAGTTTCTCTCCTCCTTGTTCGAGTCGCAAATATTGAGTTCTGCGCAAACATTGCCTCAGATGGAACTGTCTTCTTTATCACAGAAGCCATTGTGCCTTTCCCCACTCAAGTCCAGCACTAATTTTGTAGTAAATTATTTCAGTTTCCATCCAGAAAGAGTGCTTTTGAGTGGATGAAAGGAGCAAAAGGAGCGGTAGGATTCTAATTATATCTAGGTCTTGTTAAAGAAAAGAAGCATCATGTCAGATAAGGACGGTCCATACGTTATGCCTTAAAAATTACCTTCAGAAAATGTCTAAGTGTTTTTGTTATTGTAGTGCAGGCTTGATAAATCTAAGTTATCTAACGGGAGGTCCAGGATACGAACTGTTCCGAGAAGTTCATACCAGAGAGAAAGTGGGGGTTAGACGAGTTGGTTTTAGGGAGCATTCAAGTGTCGTATGGGGACTCATTACATGCAGGACATACTTTAAGTATGTCAGGGTCGAGTCTGGATAAGTAGGAGCTTATTCTCGAGCCAGCACAAGCTCTTTGTCTGTAAAAGGTGATGATATGATTCCGAGAACGTCATTCACAGGTGTTGACGAACTCTTGGTGAATGGCATTTAATGCCTGTCTGTACGCCGTCCTGACACTTACACAGCATCACATTACGCTCCTTAACTAGTAAATTATATTCATCGCAGTGCAAGTGATTCTTTGGCGACGGCGGGCTTGTAGCTTTCTCATCTGAGTCTTGTTGGCCTCCAGTATTCAGCAGCATAGTTTACGACCAGCTGGCTAATTATCTTGTAACTTGCCAGTAACGTTTCTTTGTCTTTCCCCCAGAAGCTGCCGGATTCTATTGCAGCTCTGTAGTTTTGTAGCAATAGCAGTCGTATAAGTAGTGAAGAAGTCCAGGCTGTCTAATGTGACTCCCAGTAACTTGGGGGCTATTTTACTTTCCCATCGAATTCCAGCCGGTATTCCGTCCTGTAGCTAGTTAAGAGAGTGGCCGAGGATTTCGAAGGCTATAATTGTAATTCTGCGTGCAGTGAAGCAGAGGAGAAGATTGTCGAGATAGTAATCCGTATAATTTTAAACATAAAGTAATCATCAACATCCTGACCAAATAACAGTATCGACCAATCATTGGCATATGAGATCAGTAAAACTCCTTCTAGTGGGGGAAGGAACAGCAGTGTGGAGAGGACAACATCCTGATGAAGCTCTTGTTTTATTTTTTTACTGAATTATTCTCAGCAACTGCTATGGTGGAAGATCTCGATATCGATCGTTAGTACAATACCTCTTAGGTTTCTTCACAGTCTATCACATGTACTGCCTACCACCTACTTGAGGGCTTTTGTTCTGGATCTGGCAGCAGTCTCGGTTCTTTGTGGGGTAAAGAAGCGCAGTTTGTCTTATGTCTGGTCTTGTAAGTTTGAGGAATTTACAATCAGAGTTTCAACGTTGTCGACTTCGACATTCAATTCTAGTCAACACTCTTTTCTCCAACTGCAGAGCAAAATATATCCGTTCATTTAGTGGAGTAGAGGATTGCGGCATTGTTACCAGGTAACGGGTTTTTAAAACAATTGATCCTGACATCGAGTTCTATTCGAAAATCTCAAACTTCGCAGGATAGTAGGTTGTGGTACTCGCAGTGAAGACGTGTACGAAGGAAAAAGTTCTTTTGTGATACTCTTTTTAAAGCTTCAAAATGTTCTACAGGTTTTGTCAAGAAGATGTGATATTCAAAGAAATATGGCATTTTTCAGATGAATGATTTGATGTTAAAACAATATCAGCCGGATGACAGCCACGGCTAAGTTTACAGGATCGTATTTTTTTGTAGAAATTTTCCATCAACAAATCACAAAGTGGCTGCTGTATGTCCTCAATAGCATCACGAATTCCATATTTGAGGTTTTGAAACGACGTTGGCCTGTTTGCGTAGATCTTATCGTTATCGTAGCTCTAAAGAAAGAAGTCGCAAAAACTCGGTAGCCAATTGCGATAACCTCTTCGAGAGATAACACGGTTCGAAAACTTTTCACCAAAGAAATTAATTGTTGCGTTGATTATGTGGCATGATGCGCAGTCTTGTTGAAGGTAAACGTTGTTCAGAACAATACCATCCAATTCCGATCATGAAAAATCATTAATCAACGCTCGACTGCGCAAACCATTCACCTTAACTGGTGCACTAGTATCATTTTGGAAGAAGTAAGACCCAAAGATCCCGCAGAGGTCTTTCAAACAATAAGTCTTGAATTTTTTTTTCAGCTCCGATCGACAGTTTTTCTTAACGATGTAGCCATCGAGGTGAAAGTTGGTCTTGTCAGTCAAAATGATTTTTCGATGAAATTCCAGATCATTTTCATGCATTTCAAGGACCCAATCGGCTAAGACAGGACATTGATAATGATCGGCCGGCTTGAGTTCTTGTGTTGACTGAACTTTATAAACCTTAAGACCCATGTCCTTATGGAAATTACGGTGTAATGATGTTTGTGGAATGACCTTTGTGGAATGCCCAAGTCCAAAGAACGACGGGTAATGAATAAAGCTGGGATTTCTTCAAAAGTTTGCAGAACAGCAATATTATTAGTTGTTCTTGAGCGAAGTTTAGGTGTTTAATTCTTCACATCACTAACTTTTCCCTGCAGCTCTATTTTTTCCAACAATTTATTGCAGGCCGACACCGGCGACCGAGTTTAAAAAAATTTATAGTGAATTTTAGTCATTTCAATGCGTTTTTGAATAATGTATAGTTCCATCTTTTCTCTTGGCGTCTAACGGGAAATAACACCTCTTATTAGTCAACCCTTTTGCTAACTTTCTCAAGTTTATACCTCTCTTTTTTGGTGATTCGAAAGTGAAACTGTCTTTTATAAGAATATCTTGAGCATCTAAAGGACACTTTTTCATGGATAAACTCAAATCTCACACAGAGAAAAAAAAACAATAATACATACACACACACAAAGCAATTGCAAAGCGCATAAACCAAAACTACAAAGTTAGAGAACTAACAAACAGTAAAACAGCCTCCAACACAACACACCCAAACACGGGGTCTCTCTATTTTTAATCTGTTATCTACATTTATCGCTGCGCAAAAGAAGGCATGGCAAAAGGGCACTCGAGAACTCGAAGGCATTGAAACGAAACCCAAGCCAAACCAGAAACCAAAAACAGAGAAAGAGAACGTGGCTAACAAAACAACGAAGAAACAAATAAAATGAAAAAGAAGGCAAGACAGGCAAGGCAGCACAGCCAGTAAAGGCAAACACAAAATGCAATGAAATAAAACCAGAAACCAGATTTATAAACAAAAATAAACGCAAACAAACAAACAAACGGAATTTAATACAAAACAAGAAGAGGATATAACAAACAATCAACAGAAAAAAGAAACCCAAATAGATAAGAGCGCAGACAGCAGTGCCAACAGCAACAACAACAATAAACGAACACAACAAGTCAAGCAAAATACAAACGAAAAGATAAAGCAAAAATGAAATAAAATAAAATCAGAGAAAGAAAAAAATTTATTGTTGAAAAAAAAAAACACAGAAAACACCTCGAGGGTAGGCATATACACAAAACGAGTCTTTCAAGTCAAGAGCCACTGTAAAGAGACGGAGACACAAAAATACAAAATATCTTTGAACAAACCAGCAGTTGCCCAGACCAACAAGCTTGAAAACACATGTACATGTGCGCAGAATGCATGTGTGTAAATGTATATATATGTATGTATGTATGTATTGTACTTATATAGACGCCTCGGACCTCAATCATGGACGTCGGACAACAAATGTGTGTCAATTATTTCGAATTTTTCACTTAAAACTGCCTCACACAACATAGCAAAGTCGAGCAGACGTACTGTTTCTGTTTCCCCATAGCCCACAGTATATTTGCATGAATTTATGTACATACATACAGCCAAACATATATACCTCTGTTTGAGTGCTATTTCATTAGTTAAAATGGTTAGATTTCTCGATAGACACTCTCGTAAACAAATAAAAGAGGTCGCAATACACTAATGGAATCCTTAAAATGCGCCGAGCTTAGTATTGAGCAGGCTGTTGATAACATTCAAATAGGGTAGAGAGAGAGAGAGAGAGAAAAAAAAAAAGAAGAGAGTTGGCAAAAACGTTTGGAAATAGAGAGAAGAGTGTAATGACATTGAGGGTTGATAAGAAGTGCGAATGTCATACGTCACATTTTTGTTGTTTATATGCCCATCATATATGTAAGTATGTATGTAAATAATATGTACATATATATGTTTATATATACTTCGCTCTCTTCGCTTAATCATCAGCTGTTATTTGATTATTTCTATTTTAAGACATTTATCGCTTGTTTTTTCATAAATTTTTTTTTCTTTTTTTTCGGATAGAACAGAGGTTTGGTAATCTTTAAAAATTTCTAACAGTGGGAGTTTTTTTTTTTTAAGTTAATATACTAACAAGAAATGCTCACTTTGTTTCTGCTATACAAATGCGTAAATTTGAAACTTTTCACAAATTGCTGATAATGCTATTTGAGTATAAAGCCATATACATATGAACATAAACAAAGGGTGGCGAGCAGGAGAACGGCACAAAAGATGTAAAACAAATTGAAATAAATCTTAATAGGCGTAGACATTCCATTTTGCTGTTCTTATTTGGGGTCAGTAAGCACAACAAATATTATTGCCACACGGATAAAATAAAGTATATAGACTCATACATACATGTGTACATACATACATACATACATGTGTATGTACAGTGGGTTTTATCAGGCTAGGAAAGATTAAGAAATGAACAATATATGTAAATTATGTGTATACGTGTATATACATGTGCCTAAAAATTTGTTAGAAGCAATACTACACACATACATATGTATGGAAGGAAGCAGTAAAGTGTTTCTTTTCTGGTATAGATTACTGCAGAGTCGTAAGAAAAAGGAAAATGCTAAAAAATAATAATTCGGATAACACAATATAATAATAGTACGCAATGCTAACCACTCGGCTACCGCCGCCGATTAAAATATAATTAATTGATTTAACTTAAATAAAATAAAGTTAAATTATGTTATATGAAAGGAAAAATATCAAAATAACAGCAATAACATAATATATGTAACAAAATGATGAAAAAAATTAATAAAATTAAATATAATATAAATTGGAAAATAGTATTAAATAAAAATAACTAAAATTAAATAAATCTAAATTTAATAAAATGTAATCAGGATGAAAAAATAAATTAATTAAAAGAAAAAAAGAAAATTAGAGACAAATTAAAATATACAATTAAATTGAATAAAATAAATATTATAAAATAAAACAAAGAAAAAAAACATTATATTAAATTAAAATTGCTTAAATTAAATTATAAAACAAATAAAATAAAAAAATAAATAAACTAAATTAAATTATGTTAATGAAATCAAAACTTTACTGAAATGCATACATACATATGTACATATATCATACATACGTGTACATATTATATATAAAATAAATAAAATATATACAAAACTAAAACAAAATGAAATAGCGCTTTATTAAATTGAATTAAATTAAGTAGAAGAAAAAATAATACTCAACTAAATTAAAAAAAATAAATTTAAAACCAAGTGAAAGAAAATGAAATAAATTAAAATAAAATTCAAAAAATTTAAAAACACAAGTTGCAATAAACTTAAATTAAATGAAATCAACCAATAAAATTAAATGAAATAAAAAAATGTGTTAAATTACATTGAAAAATGGGAATTACTAAAAATTAAATTAATTTATATTCAACTTATTATAAATTTAATTTTTATTATTATATTATTAAATAAATAAAACCAAATAAATTAAATAAAATTAAAATAAGGCAGTAAATAAATAAAGAAAAATAAACAAATAAAAATGTGAAACAAACTAATAAGTACAATAAATTTAATTAAATTTAATAAAAGAATAAAACAAATTGAAATAAATTAATTTAAAAAAATAAATAAAAAAAATTTAAGCTAAATATAAGAAAAATTAATAAATATATTAACTTAAATAAAATAAAATGAAAATATAGTAATAATAAAATTAGTGCAATAAAATAAAATTTATTATTAATTTATATAAAAAAATTATAATAAATAAACAAAATAAAAATAAAATTAATTAACTAAAATAAAAGAAAATATAAAACAAAAGAAAACAAAGTTGAACTAAATTGCATTGGATTAAATAGAATGCATAGAATCAAATTAAAAAAGTTAAACAAATAAGTGAAGTAAAATATGATATAATGAAAAAAAAAACAATTGAATTAAATAACACAAAAATAAATTAAACAAAAAAAATTAATTAGTAAAAAATAAACAAATTACAATTTACAATTAAATTAAATGAATTTAAAAAAGGTAAGAACTAAATAATATAAATAAAATTTAATAAAATAAAAAATATTAACAAAATAAAGTGCTATAAAATGAAATTAAACAAAATAAATTATAAACAAACAAAAAATAGGTACAATTTAAATTAAGTAAAGAAAGAAAACAAAATAAAAAGTCAAATTAATTTAAATTGAATTAAATTAAATAAAAGAAAAATATAAACAGAATTAAATTAATTTGTAATAAATAAAATTCAAGTAAAGAGAATACCATATAACTGAAGTGAAATATAATAAAATGAAAAAAATGTTAATAACAAATTAAACAAAATTAAATGATATAAAAATAAATTAAATTTTTTAAACAAAATTAGTAAAAAGTAAACAAAATAAATTTTGCAGTAAAATTTATTTATATTAAATAAAAAATAAAACAAAAGAAAATAAAGTTTAACTAAATTGAATTAAATTAAATTTAATAAGAAGAAAACACAAATAAGATTAAATTAATTTGAATAAATTAAACAAAAGAAAAATTAAAAAGTTAAATTAAATAAATGAAATTAAATTAAATAAAAAAATATTAGTAACATCATTATTGCACTTCATGTGGGTTAAATGAAATAAAATTGAATAACGTTAGCAAATAAAATATAATCAGCAATAACAAAAAATTTAGACCAAATGAAACGATCAATTGAATTGAATTAAATAAAGGAAAAAATTAAATAAACTTAAATAAAACTGAATTGCATTAAACTAAATAAAAGAAAATATAATAACTTAAGTTAAATTTATTTGAATAAAATGAAATAGTTAATTGTTTTCCGGCCTCTGCTATTAATGTGTTTTACTAGTTATTTAATAAAAAATTGAATGAAAAAATTAAAAAAAATACATTTTTAAAACAAAGAACAAAATGATAAAAAATATAAAATTAAATAAAACTCAATTACAAAAAATATAAATGATTTCTGTAAAAAAAAATATATCAAATATTATGAGGTTTATAGCAGACATATATATATATATATATATATATTTTTTTTTAAAGAATAAAAGATTTCATGGAAACAATACAAAGCGACTAAAAGGATTTCAAAAAAAGCTGTTTCGCAATATTTAAGAAGAGTCACATACAGTTAATCTTCCAAATAGGCACACGTCAATACATACGTACACGTATACTGTGGAAAAGACAAAAGCATTGAATTAAAGAAAAAACCATTTCGCATTTTTTCATTAAACAAAGGTGCCAAAGAACATATGACGTCAGCAAATTTGTACATAGTACTTTTGTGTTAAGCAGAAAATATAATAAATAATAATCTTTCGTAATTGAAACACTTTGGAAAATTATTTCGTTTAAGCATCTCATACATTTTGCCATTAATTGTTATTTTGTTTTGCAGATTTTCTTACGAACTACAGCTGATATTATTAAAAATAAAAGTAATAATAAATTTATGAAAATACACACCAATGCCGTTCGTTGCCAAAAACCGTTTTTAATAACCGATTCAACTAGTTGGATCCAAAATTTATTACTCTTTATATATTTTCAAAATTATTTCACTTTCATATAGCAGAAAATTCTCATAGCTGCGCTTACTGAGCACAATCACTTTTTCAGCACTGCCTTAACAATCTTTGTTGTTGTATTGAAAAACACAGCTGAACGTAGTTGACGTTTTGCGTTTTCTATTGCATCACACGCGAACAAACGAGCGAAAAAAAAAAAACAAAAAAACTTATAAACAGGTATGAAGGGGATATGTATGTATGTAATTACAACAGACAAAATCGCAGCTGATGATTATTAGCTAGATAAATTATTTGCACTTGAACGCTTAAAACAAGAAAACATTTGATTAAGAAAATCTTTGGCGTTTATGTGAAATTATTTATTACACTTGAGACACTTTAAAACACTTGATTTCCAAAGCAAATGCTTCTTTTTTTTCTTGCATTAATCAAGGCGAAAAACCTTCATGTGATCGCATTGAAGGACACTAAAAGGTTGTATTTACAATTGTTTTTATTTTTGTATAAAATCGACTCGTCACTTATCGTATTTTCACAAGTTTTATGTTGTTTATTGAAAATTTGCAATGCACTTTGCTTGCATTTATTGGCACTGGTGTAAGTTTTCGTTAATTTGTAGTCAACGTTGTTGTACGTTTCTTGTGTCCCATTCGATCTGAATCTTGCCCTTACTTTTTGACACAGGTAAATTTCCATTAGTTTTTTATGTGAAGAACTAACAAACTTAAACTCAATGCAAGGAGCACCAACACAAATAAACACAAAAATGTATGTATGCAAGTGTCACAACCGCACAGTTCAAATGTAGATAATCGACTGATGACTGTCAGTTGAGCTAACGTGTAGACAACTAGCTCGTCAGCTGTTTAATGAATACAGACGACCGACCGATCGACCGGTTTGGCTTTTCAATATACGTATATGTGTATGTATATCTTATATACTTATGTGCACATACATAAATACATGTATTTCTTCACAATTATTCTATTTTTATTTCACTACACCAAATGATTTTCCGACCGTACACAACGCGCGACTGAGCGTCCAAACGTCAACTGATGTGTGCGGACAGTGCAAAAAAGCGAATGCTTTTCGTCACTACAGACAACAGTGAATTCGTCGTAATCAAGCCAAACTGGCTGCTTGGCGAGCTGGCGAACGAGCTATGTATGTAAATGTACAAACTGATTGCCCGACCAACCGACCGACCGACCGACCGTCAAGTACCTAAACGTACATGCTTGCCAGTGATTATGTGCATAAAGCCACTCACAAACATACAGTATGTATGTATGTATGTATAAGCTCGTTTGTCGATAATTTTAACAACAACAAAACTGGTCTATATGATCGTGTTGCTACTGCTGCTTTGGCTGTCAGCTGTGCTTTATGTATGGCGAAAATGTTGTGTAGTTTAGAAAAGAAAATGTGGTTTTGTATTAGCAATTTTCATTGCTCTCGTCGCTTTTATTATTTTGTTTATCTAGATTTATATTGCACATACAATATATGTGTGTATACTTATGCGTATGTATGAATGTTCATAAATAATACAATAATTGCAATGAGTTTGTGACACACCTCCCTCACTTGGCTGATACATGCATATGTATGCAGTTGTGTGGCTATGTGGTGTATGCCTCTCACTTTAGTTTCGTGTAGTAGCGCACTGCTCTATCGACGGCACTACACTACACTGCACTGTTAGTACTGTTCAGAGCGCTGCTAATGCGCTGCTACCGTCACTGTTACACTCAACTTAGCTAAATTTTCACAGCAATCAAATGAATTGAAATTGTATTTCGTTTGGAAAGAAGTATTTGACATGGATAGCCAAATGAAGTGTGTGGTGTCGTATCACTTCGATTAATTGTTTATTTTCAATCGTAGTGAGTAAGGCTGCAACTACCCATTTCACTCACCAGCCGTCCATAAGTGTCGACGTCGAGGCGAGATAAACACACGAGCTATCGACGCCGCTGAGAGCGGCGAAATGTTGCCAGCTGCCTGTGTGTTTGCACACTTTTGAACAAATTCATAATTTTCGTCAACGAATTTCATAATTTATTTGCTTTAACATAAACACAAGGCAAATATACATAATCTATATGGTAACAAATAATTAGTTACGCATTTAGTTTTCATTTCTTTTGAAAAAAAATACGCATTATTTTCGATTATTTAATGTTACTTTAAGAAAGGCTATACTGGCAACCTTGTATAGCAACGAAAAATGAGCCGAGCCGGTTTTACGGAAAAATCAAAACTTCGTTGGTTTCTGCGACACAAACGTCAGCAACGCTATGGTAAATCGGTGACAACTTTGTGTTTACATGGTGCTCTCATAAGATAGGTTACTATGGACGGCTGGTACGCTCGTTGGGTAGTTGCAGCCTAATGCAGCAAAGTTTTCGCCGCACTAAAGAATGAAATCGTATTTCCGCGAATAATATATAATTGCTGTGCAGGCACTTATGTACATATGTTTTTTTTTTTCGCTGAAATACAGCAAACAACCGACCATCGAAAGGCTTGTAAGTAAGTATATTTCTATGTATCTGTCTGTCTTCTGCTTGTATGTATCTATGTACGCATATTTCTTATTTCTTAAACTTGTGTACGCTTTGCGAATTCTCAACAGGAAACTCCTTACACCGCGCACACAATAAATATGTACTTTACTTCCTTCTACAAATTGTATACATATAAACATACATATGGTTGTATGCTGCTGGTAGCAAGCATGCTATGCACACAATTCTATTAAAATAATACCACTTCACAGTTGCTGCTGGCTCTGCACTTCTCCAACAAACAAACAAACGAACAAAAAAACAAACAACACCACTTGGAGCGCACTGCACTGTTCTGTTCTGTTCATTCACTCATGTGCACTAACTACTGCAAACTCAGCTGCTTCTTTCTACACAAACTCTGTTCAGCACACGTTGTTGTCACTAGCGTTGTATCTTTTCGACTGAAATCCAAACGCAATGAATTGACTTTCTAAACAGCTGAGCGAGACCAAAATCAAGCAAAGTAGGAAAATTTACTTATACACTTGTTTATACATATATACATTCATACACATAGTATATGCAAACAACGCAATAAATTGTATATAACACTTGAACTAAAAAGTAAATCCAAACGCAATTACAGCAACAAGATATGGCAACAAAAGGCGACAAACAAACTTACTATCTATGTATGTATATATACACATAAATATATATATATGTGATATGCTCTTACATATACGAGTGAAAATCTTTTTCAATACAAGTCGCAGACGCAGAGAGAGACTTGTTTTGGAAAGAGTAATAATGCCGTAAAATGTATTGAAGAAAGATACATTATTATTGAGAGAGCGCACACTCTACAATATGGTATATAAATATATAGAAGGCGACATTTTTCAACCAACGAGTAGGCGAAAATTATTGCCAAGGAAAATATATCATAGAGGCATGTTTTGAAAATCACACAATTTGAAAATAGTACCGAAATTACAAGTCGTGCGATTCTACTTTCCCAGTTCTGTAATTTTTCCCATTTTGATTAGAACTTCAAGCAATCAACCCCATAACTGTTTAATTTTGTTTCAAAAAAACTTTCTTATAACAATACGAATACGATTTTTGTTTATCTTCAAGACGAGTATACACGACATTATGCGAAAAATCTTCATTTCGCTTAGCGACATAAACAGTTAAAGGTTTAAAGCTGCCATCAGACGTTGCAATTTTCATGCAAATTTTATTTCCTACACATATTTTGCTGTCGAAAATTTTCAATTTTAACGTGCCCTCATTTATCTGCTGCTTGTTCGTGCTGCAGTTTTATATCTCTTGCAATTGCTGTCAAAGGATTTTAGTATTGACAAATAAAAGTTTCGGTGAATTCTTGTGAAATAAGCTATGTAACTTGCAGCAATTGGAATTAAATTTTCATGGAATTTTTTACGCAACGAGAGACTGATTTTGAAATTAAATTTCCAAATTTATAATTTTGACATGTAAACATTTTAAAATTAATTACGTTGCCACGTCCGAATTGAACTCATCCCAAATCACGACAACTTCTTTTCTGGAAATTACAAAAAAAAATTCATGAAATTTTGAAAAGTCGATATTATTTAAATATAAAATTTTAAAGTGTAAAAATTTTAATTTTTTTCAAAAAATGTTTCTTATTATTAGATAGATTGATATATTTTCACTAAACCACTTACATATATAAAAAAACCTTTGAGGGGAAAATAAGCAAGATATGTAATCTTGGCAAAATAAAATTTGTCGGGATTTGGGTGTGACTATAACATGCCTGAGAGCTGGATTTGGTGCAGTCTGGTTTATGCCTTAGGGATTTCATATTTCGAAAATTCTTGCAGATCTAAAAAAAAGTTTTTTTCTTATGGCAGCTGCTATTATAAAAAAGAAATTAAAGACGATTTTTGATGCATTCGACTTCGGCGTAAGCAACTGGCAATTTTAAATTTGTAAACCTGAAACTATTTGATGTATAATAGTTAAGCATTTTCAATTTATCCTTTAAAATATTATTATAATTTTGATTAATTTTATATATCAAGACTAACATCTTAATATTCTGTTCAAAGGTTTCAAAATAAAAAAAAACCACAAATTTTGCACGGCAATGATTTTAGAACAGGAAGAATAACATCTTGTTTGATTGAGGAATTAAAAATTTTATATTTTGTTTGAAGATTAGTGGAAAACATGTAGGAATCGAATCGAATTGAACAACTTAGGATTGTGTATAATATTTTTCTTAACCTTAGATAAGTAATCATTATAACATTTTTGTTATTTTTGCTCTTGGGTTTCTATTTAAGTAACATAATTCCTTTGCAAAACCAGTCCGAGCGTGCAATAATTCAATATTATCAGTAAAATTTTGCCATACATGTGTACATTAGATCTCTAAAAATAAAGATTTTTCATTCGAGGAACCTTATTTTTAAGTTCACGTTAAGATTTCGTCAGCCACCAAATTCCAAAAAAAAAAAAAAAAAAAAAAAATTGTAGCACTGTTTTGGAGTAAAATGGGGCAATATTTTCTAGAAGAATTTTAGTTTGTTTTTAAAATCAATTAATAAATTGAGCTCGTGGAAATCAAACGAAGATTACTTAAACCCGATGCGTTCAGATACTCTAGAGCAATCGGAAGTGTTGCATCTAAACAAACTGTACAAACTAAGCGCAAATTCAAGCTCGTCAAGTTGCTCTCCTTCAAATAGCAAAAAAGGAAAGACTTTTCATTATTTCTTAAAACTTGGTGCGGTACAAAGGGAGTAAAAAAAAATGGTGTCTCTGGAGAAATGAAATAATGATGAATTTGTTTTGGTAACGATGAGTAAATTTCTTCACCCGAAAGGAAAGGAATCTCATATTAGATTTACGATAAAAGGAACAGTGAAGCACGAGGACGACAGTTAAATGGTATGGCACTGTTTTTCATAGAAAGGTGTAGGTCCGATACATCGGATTGATCAGATCATGGATATATTTGTCTATAAGGATTTGTTAGAGTCTAAAATGATAGCCAAAAAGCATTTGGTAGACGGGAAAATTTGCTTCAGTCATGAAAATCTCAGCAGGGCAATGTTTTGAAGCATCATCATGATCCCAAGAACGCAATAATGAAGTCCTTGAATAACTAGGTCAATACCCAGATCCAAATACTAGCGAAAATCTTTGCGCCAAATTTAAAAACCCTTTGGCAAAAAAAAAGAACATATTTAAGGGGAAATAAGAAAGTTTGGTATGACATGCCACTCTTGTTGAAACTTGTCAAAGAAATCAAGAGATTTATTAAGAAAAATGAGGTGGAAAAACTAAGAAAAATTTTAAGTATTGTGAAAAATACATAAATGAAAGCTAGATATTTTTGCAAAAAAAAAATATTATTTTGTCCAGCTGTGTATATACTATACGTAGATATATATGTAAGTAAGTAGATATGTATGTAAGTTTCCAAAAATATACGTAGAGTCGTGGTTGAATTGCAACTTCCTTTAGTCACGACAGATAACCAGAATAAGTTTAAAATAAGATTTAAATTTTTACTTTTCTTTTTGGAGGAACAACTATAAATTTGGAAATAAATTTTGAACGCGAAAATGTAGGAATGTTTAGATGTCTGCATTCAAGATCTGTTGAAAAGTAGTGTACGACGCAATTTGAGTAGTGAAGGAGAGAAACATCACTCCGCACACAACAATCCACCAACAAAACATAAAATGTATCTATGTGTCAAGTATACGAGTACATTGTGTACATACATATAAGTGTAAACAACAAAACAGAGATGGAGAGAGATCAAAAACCTAAAGGCAATACACTTTGGTACAAATAATTGTATATAAAGAGTAACGACACCACTGCAACATTGGTAAATACGAGCAACATGTTGCTCAATGTTGACGCTAAACTTGTTTGACAGCGAGCAAGCAAAAGAGAGCGAGAGCGAAAGCCTCCAGCCTATATATGAATATCTATATATTTAATAATGATAAGCAGCTGAGTTCGCAGCGTGGCAGGAGGTTTTGACAGATAAGCAGATACAATATATATATATATTGATATATATGTAAACAAATAAATAAACGAAATAAACACAAATCATATGGTTTCTTTACAAAAGCAAAGCCATGCATATAGTTACATACAAATGAGTATATATGTATATGGTGTAGTTAGTATATTTTTCTTTGTACAGATACATATGTACATATATAATACATATATATAAATATGGGAGACATTAGATGTGTATTTAATTTTAAACTCAAATCTTGTAAAATGTTGTAACTAAATAAATGCAACTGTATGCACATATCTACACACATATTTATAATAATAGGTTAAGCAGAGTTGCCATAAGATTTTCAGTATATATACATATATAATAATACTTAAAATAGTAAACTCAGAAAAAATTCAATTGAAGTTGCTCTACTGCTAAGAACTGAAAACCTTATGGCAACTCTGTTTAACCTATTATTATAAATATGTGTGTAGATATGTGTATACAGTTGCATTTATTTAGTTACAACATATATATATATAATAGGCGCTTTGTGGCCGTTGGAGCGATTTTCGGCCGAACTCCTCCTTCAATTTGTGGTTTTGCGTCTTGACGTTTCTTCAACAAATGGAGAGAACTAACGGTTTATGGTTTTTTTCTGACGACCCATTATTTAATGTCAAAAATACACTCGCGGGAGGTTTTTCATTTAATTAATTTTCAACAACTTTTGGATGTTGGTCGTACCAGGATTTGAACACGAGCATTCCGAGTGGCAGTACGCAATGCTAACCACTAGGCTACCGCAGCCGAAAAAGAATTACGTACTTTTGGTCTCTCTATTGTTCACGATGCCACACGATAATTCAATGGTACGTTCTACTATGAAGAGTTCTGAAATCTTTCCTTTATGGCCCTCTGAACCGAAGTGTTTGACTGTGTATTCCTGCGACAGTCAGTTAATTGCCTCTTTCGTTGATACATTTAATTTTACTTAATAGCCATATGACTGTTACCTTAAGTGGTTGGCCTTTAGCAATGTCCATGCCCATAATCTCTGCGTAGTCACAGAAAACCGGTGCCCCCATGCCTGCCTTACAGTTAGACCCAACAGTATAGATTAGAAGATCTTCATTGTTACTCCCAATGGGCTCGTCTTCTGTCCATTCTCCTCTATTAGGGAAGGTGTAGGTAACCTGTGCCTGGCAGAAAGTTTCCGTTTCACTTGTGCATTTCACATTTAGCCCGAGTTATGATATAATTTTATGAATGTCACAATTTGGGTACTGAAACCAACTGTGTAGAACATTCAGGTGGGCAGCGGTTATCGCTGCCTCATCTTCTTTACATCTTAAAAGGCATCAAATCAATGAATTTTTCACCGGATCTTGACTGGAAATGAAAAGTGGATGATTT